CTAAAGGCACTCAGGAGAGACAAAGTCCCACAACCCCATGCTTGTGTCCCTAAAGGCACTCAGGGCAGACAAAGTCCCCACAGCCCCATGCTTGTGTCCCTAAAGACACTCAGGAGAGACAAAGCCCCCACCACCCCAGGCTTGTCACCCCACATGGAGAGATGGCAGACAAATACTCGGCTGTTCCCCCTCTCCTATAAATATTGGATGATGGATATATCTCTTCATCCCTGTGACAGTCTTGTGTTCATTATGTCTATATGTGGTTAGGAGTTTTAATGCTTGAATGTGATAGCATATTATTTTCCCTCCAAGATCAAGGTTGCATCCAATTTAATTACTCTTTAATTAGTCATTAAGACTTTATAGTAACCTGAAACAATAGTACTTACATGAACTGAAGTTGATGAAGGGTGTGCACGACAGTTTTGAGTGCGGCATGGCATATGGTTGACTTTCAGACCAGACTATTTATCTTCAACACTTGGCATCAATTACACAGGAGGGTGGAAGGCAGCCCACAGTTGAGTGAGTGAGTGAGTTGGTGGGTTGTTTGGTGAGTGATTGGGTGGGTTGGTGAGTGAGTGAGTGAGTTGGTGGGTTGGCAAGTGAGTGAGTGGGTTGGTGTGTGGGTGAGTGGGTTAATGAGTGAGTGTGATATGAGTGAGTGAGAGAATGAGTGAGTTTAGTTTTACTCCGTCACTCAGCAATATTCCAGCTATATGGCGGCGGGTGATATGAGTGAGTGGGTGTGGGTGGGTTAGTTAGTGTGTGGGTGGATGTGTGAGTGAATGAGTGGGTGGGTGGGTTAGTGAGTGAGAAAAAAAGCTCAAGGTGATTCTGGTCACCCACAACAAAAGGTATTGTGTTAACAAGCCAAATATCACAATCAGTTCTCATCTTGGATTTGAACCAAACATTAAGATTCTGACCATTTCCTTAGGCACAGTAAATTGTTATGCCTTAGACACTTCTATAACAGTTGATTCTGCTTAATATATGAAAAACTTGATTTGTGGAAATCTATAATTTCTTAGCAAGATGCAAATCTAAAAGAGTGAGTGAGTGAGTTTAGTTTTACGACATTTTTAGCAATATTCCAACAATATCACAGCGGGGAACACCAGAAATGAGATTCACACATTGAATCCATGTGGGGAATCGAACCTGAGACTTCAGCGTGACAAGCAGTAGCTTTAACCATTAGGCTACCCCACTGCTCCCAAATCTAAAAGCAAAGATTGTTCTGGACTCCTCTAGAGTCAGTTCCCACTGTGATGGTAAAAGTTCATTTTCCCAATTGAGCAGATCCTCCTGTGTTAAGGGGGGATAACTCCTAGTATTTTAATTGTATATGTTATACTGTAAACCCTACTTTATATTTTGTATGTTTAGATGCATCTATAAATAACCATGACAACAACAGTTTACCGTTAATGAGATTCACCTGTGAAAAACTGATATGCCGAATGTCTTTTATGCAACTGAAAAATTATTCAAAGAAGCAATAAACCAAATCACTCATTCCTATAATGACAAAAAATAGAATAAAAGACAAAAATATTTCAATTTCGTGCTTCATAGTTGCATTGCAGAGATTTGGCAGTGGATATTTTTATTTTTATTTTAATACATCCATCCTTTAGTTTTACAATTCATTCAATGTCCAATGTAGTTTCTGGAGGAGTGGAACTGGTTTTCATTTCCTGAAAACAATTGTTACAGTTTGAAATCTGTCTGCACATTACTTTCAGGTAAATAAATTCTGGTTCTAATTTCCTGAAAACAGTTGTTACGTTCAGTAAATAAAAATTAAGGACAGAGACAATTAGTGTTTGTTAGGAAAATAGCTTCTTGAAATAGAAGTCTAAACGTGTCTTTGTTTGTGGGGCTTTTGCTTGTGTGTGTTTAGTCTTATCAGGTTTGTCTGTACTTTTTCTTGTGGACTGTCTCATAAAGGGGACAAGTCCAGCATCCCTTGACGGCGCCTCAGTGCGGTTTGGTAGCTGAGTGGTTAAAGTGCTGGCTTATTAAACCAAAGGTCTAGGTTTCAGTGTTCAGTGTGCCAACTTTGGAATGCCTCAATGGTATAATCTGATGGAATTTTGCTAAAATATATGTATAATAATTCAAAAATTGAATAAAGGCAAAACATACCACTGATAACACAGATTCAACTTCCATTAAATGTCATACCGAATCCCACTCATTCAGCTCACCCCTGGCCACCCAAACTCACTCACTTACTCACTCAACTCAACCCTTGCCGCCCAAACTCACTCACTTACTCACTCAGCTCAACCCTTGCCGCCCAAACTCACTCACTTACTCACTCAACCCAACCCCTGCTGCCCAAACTCACTCACTCACTCACTCACTCACTCACTCACTCACTCACTGAGCCCTCTTCTTGCCGCCCAAAGTCACTCACTCACTCCTCAGCCCACCCCTTGCCGTCCAAAGTCACTCAGCCCACCCCTTCAGCTTGAACCACTCACTCACTCACTCAGCCCTCCCTTCAAAGTCACTCACTCACTCACTCACTCCTCCTCACTCACCAAACTCACTCACTCACTCACTCACTCCACTCACCCACCCCAAAGTCTTACTCACCCCACCCCCCACTCACTCACAATCAAATTATATTTATGTTTGTAGATTGGCATCAGGCAATAGAAAATTACCTGCTTGTAAACAACTGTGATGTTGTTCTCAAATGCATATGAATATCTTAGGTGACATATCTGTAAACGTCAGCTTCATGACCTTTTGTTTACTGACAAAAGTCATGAGAATCTGAAACTTTTCCAGAAATCGGTTGTAATGAAACTCTGTTCCCGAGGAATCATAACGTTCTTGTTTGTCCTATACCTGTCTGACTAAACCCCCACAATGCATCTCTACTGGGAAACAAAGCAGGGCTTTAAATATGCCTTTCTTTTAATACTTCCGCAGTTTCTATAAACTTGAATCATTTATGTACATTTGAAATTGTGTGATGTTGTTGGTCTAAAACTTGACAAAAATCCTTGGCTCGTTAGAAGTTTGCAAGAATGTCGCTAGTCGCCTTTCACTGGATACGAAAGGGGGCTCAGATCGTATTGTCTTCCAATTTGACCGGGGAAGAAAGATTGCATGGATTGTTTGTGTGTTTGACAAGCACTGCCTTTTTAAATACTCTTCAGTGGCAAGCGAAATTAAGAAATGAATAAGCAAATAATGATTTATTTAAACGGGAATTTAGTCGAATCTTGGTAAATACACGTTGACAACTGAGGATAGTGGTGATTGAAGTGTGGCTTCGAAGGGGATCCAACCTCCCAGGCTCTTCCTAATTCGGAACCAGAAAAGAGAATAGCGACATAAGACAAGGATTGAAGTGCTACTACAATACGTAGATGAAAACAGAAGTTAGAACGACAAGCTTGGTGCCATGGCATGCCGGCATGTTTGAGAGCATGTGCAGAAAGTGTGCCGTGATCCCTCGGTGTGTCTGGTGCTACCGATAGGGCCCCAGCTTACTGAGCATTACCGTCATGCATTCCTCTGATACCGTTGTGTTTCGTCTACTTTGAAGAGAAGGCTCGGGGACCTAATGCTGTCATACGCAATCCCTCACATACAACCAACCAAAGGCATTGTAATCGGGGTATTTGGTGGCAACAGAAGCTGCTATTTGTTTTCTAATGTCCCAGTTGTTAAAGGATCATTACTGCTAATCACGGTCCTTACACCAGATGAAAGACCATACGAAAAATACGCAAGTTAAATTTTAGCAATTTGAATTGAAACCATGTTAACGATTTTCCATGTTTCCAATTTTAGCCTGAGTTGCATTGTGGGTGTTATGACAGGTTTGGTCGGATCAATGTACATGATATATCATGAGAGGGTAATCACACTTTATCCGATTTACGAGGGTGATCTAATTTTCTCAGACAGGGGTAAGTAACTCAGTTCATAGTTTTCAATAATGGGGTTTTATGAAATCAAACAAAGGCGACAAATCCCCCTGTAGAAGTCTGTAGAGAATTCTGAGGTTGTGCCAAGCAAACACGACAAGAGTGGCTTATTATGCATTTTTAAATGTATGGAAGTTGGATTGTCAGCGTTAAAACTGGAAAGTTTGGCAGATATGTATAGGACAAAATAAGGATAAATCCGGAAATATGTTTCTCTGTGCCAAGAGTGAACGATCTGCAGACGACCTCGTGGCTGTGTCACAGTTATTTGTTATTTACATTGCATCTCTGATGCCAGTACATGACGAGATCACCTGTACATGCAATATTATCTGTGACAATCCTGGCAATATCACCAAGCACAATCTTGGCATCATCACCTGACACAATCTTAACATCACCTGTCAACATCACCTGACACAATCTTGACATCACCTGACACAATCTTAACATCACCTGTCAACATCACCTGACACAATCTTGACATCACCTGTCAACATCACCTGACACAATCTTAACATCACCTGTCAACATCACCTGACACAATCTTGACATCACCTGTCAACATCACCTGACACAATGCTAACATCACCTGTCAACATCACCTGAGACAATCTTAACATCACCTGTCATCATCCCCTGACACAATCTTTAACATCACCTGACAACATCACCTAACACAATCTTGACATCACCTGTCAACATCACCTGACAAACCTAACATCACCTAACATAATCTTGACATCACCTAACATAATCTTGACATCACCTAACATAATCTGGACATCACCTAACATAATCTGGACATCAGCTGACACAGTCTTGATATCATCTGACACAGTTTTGACATCACCTCTCAACATCACCTGACATATAATCCTGGCAACATCACCTGAGACAATTTTAACATCACCTGTCAACATCACCTCAACACAATCTTGACAACATGCCTGGCTACATCACCTCAACACAATCTTGACAACATCACCAGAGACAATCCTGGCAACATCACCTGACACAACCTTAACAACACCTGACCATAATCTTGACATCACCTGACACCATCTTGTCATCACCTGACACAGCTGACACAGTCTTGACATCATCTGACACAGTTTTGACATCACCTCTCAACATCACTTGACATATAATCCTGGCAACATCACCTGAGACAATTTTAACATCACCTGTCAACATCACCTCAACACAATCTTGACAACATGCCTGGCTACATCACCTCAACACAATCTTGACAACATCACCAGAGACAATCCTGGCAACATCACCTGACACAACCTTAACAACACCTGACCAAATTTTGACATCACCTGACACAATCTTGACATCACCTGACACAATCTGGACATCAGCTGACACAGTCTTGACATCATCTGACACAGTTTTGACATCACCTCTCAACATCACCTGACATATAATCCTGGCAACATCACCTGAGACAATCGTAACAACATCACCTGACACAATCTTGACAACATGCCTGGCTACATGCCTCACATCCCTGGCACAATCTTGACAACATCACCAGAGACAATCCTGGCAACATCACCTGACACAATCTTGACAACACCTGACATAATCTTGACATCACCTGACACAATCTTTGACATCACCTGACATAATCTTGTCATCAGCTGACACAGTCTTGACATCATCTGACACAGTTTTGACATCACCTCTCAACATCACCTGACATATAATCCTGGCTACATCACCTGAGACAATCGTAACAACATCACCTGACACAATCTGTACAATGCAGACACCTGACAATACAGACAGGTCACTATACAAATACCTCACAAACAGGTCTTGTAACATCGGACACAACAGCTGCCGATAACCGTCAGAATATATGATGAAAGTGATGGCTAATAGATGAAGAATAACAAAACGAAAAACAAATCCTTCAAAATTGAATAAGACAAAACAAACCACTAATAACACAGATTCAAATCCATGAAGTGACAAACCATATTTCTCATCATCCCCATTTTGTCAGCATTTTATTTAGTGAAAATACACCAGTCAACAGAAAGAAAGGAAAACTACACAAACATGTTTTTTGTCTGAGAGTCTGTGTCCCGGCTTCAGATTCGACACAACGTGTCTGGAGCATGTGAGTCACACAGCTGAAATATGGCTTTCATTAAATAACATATTCATTAATGAGGAAACGGAAAGTTGGATGAGGACATTTTATCTGCATGGTATTCAGGACCAATATTAAAATGGGAAGTTAGAAAAAAAGTCAATACAGTGATATCCTTGGTGCTGGGAGGGCAACTTGGAGCAGTCCCCGACTTGAAACACTGCTCTGAAGCTTGTGTCTAGTAAGCTCAGCTAATAAACCATTGCCTGAATAAACCACAGCCACCCACCCACTCATATCACACTCACTCACTCACTCACTCACATACTCACTCACTCAATCATTAACCCACTCACTAACCCACCCACTAACCCACCTACGCCCATTACTCATACTCACTCTCACTCACAAACCCACCCACCCTCCCACCCACCCACTCACTCACTCACTCAATAGCGACCCAAAACCCACCCACCCACCCACTCACTCACTAACCCACCCACTCATACACTCACTCACTCACTCGACTCCCTAGATGTAATGTGTTTTTTGTATGTGAGTATGATTCTGTGGTCTGTACTTGACAATATCGTGAGTCAGTGTTTATGCTCCAAGAGCATCCAGTCTGGTGTGCATGGCGATCACCATCACAGATAGGTATCACTCCCATCCTAATGATCCAATCACGATTGAAGCAAATTGAGGATGATCTATAGGGATGAGTTTATGTTGTGATGTGATTTCAGCTGACATTTGACCTCACTGCATTAGTCAGGTATGACTTGTCTCCCTTGGCCAACTCAAGGTGAAAGTTGAAATTGTGTTTTAATGATTATGTTTTCGCCCATTATTAATGCTTTGTCTAAGATTACAGAGAAGAGAAGGTTACAAGTGGTTTTTAGATGCCCCTTTGTCGTGATTTCGGGGCAGATAAGGTCCCTTGTATCTTAAGCTAGCCGCCTTGTAGGGATTCTGGTTTATAAAAGGTACCTTGTATCCTAAGCTAGATCCTAAGCTAGCCTACTTGTCGGGATTCTGGTTTATATAAGTCCTGTAGATCTTGTATCCTACTTGTGGGGCTGGTTTATTCTCTTTGTCGGGATTATGGTTCATATAAGGTCCCTTGTATCCTAAGCTAGCCTACTTGTCGGGATTCTGGTTTATATAAGGTCCCTTGTATCCTAAGCTAGCCTACTTGACGGGATTCTGGTTTATATAAGGTCCCTTGTATCCTAAGCTAGCCTACTTGACGGGATTCTGGTTTATATAAGGTCCCTTGTATCCTAAGCTAGCCTACTTGACGGGATTCTGGTTTATATAAGGTCCTTTGTATCCTAAGCTAGCCTACTTGTGGGATTTCAAGGGCAGATAAGGTCCTTTGTATTTAGATCTAGCGTCCTTGTGGACGACTGACTGCCGATAACCAACATCCTATGCTGGTCTAACCATAGGGATTCCAGAGTAGAACAGATCCCCAGCAACATGCTGGTCTCTCTGTAAGGATTCCCAATCTGAACAGATTTACTGGTCTCCTCATGGGGATTGGGTGATCTGGCTCTGGAACCCTGCAAGTTGGACAGTGAAAAAGATCTCTGACCTTCACCCCAAGAGGAAGTCAGACAGTGACATACAGGGGTAATAAGCCTTCTTAAAAACTTCCCCAAATGGATCAATAATGCAATATCTAATAAGCAATGGTACAAGTGTAATGCTGAGCTGAACATGTGTGGTTCGAAGTATCGAGTACAAAGAGTTAAAATGAGGGAGTAATGTGAGTGCAGAGTTGGAAGTTGAAACTTATCAGAAAACAATTTTCTTTGAGATCCTTCAGACGAAAATTCCAAATTAAGAGCGTAATAAGGCAACAATATCTCGGAAACTGTGTGAAATAATGACTGCTGACTTGTATTAAGATGAATCTCTCCGCGCGGGACAAAAACGCGTCAATATATAGATCATAATATTGTATCAAGCGGACCTAAACCAAAACCTACTCATTGGTCTCTCAAGCGTTTAATCTGTTTTGAGATAATAAAAGATTTGTAAAGATTCTTTGATAAAAGCCTGAAAGTTATTAATTGCATCTTGCTCATTTTATAGATACAAATTACTGACTGAGGACTCGTTGCGATGTAAGATTGTTTGTGGCTCTAGTTAAGCCCAGAGGTTCGGTTCAGAGATGGTGAAGTGAAAAATCTATAATAAACTATAATAGGTGTCATGCCATCGGTTTGATATTTCTCACAAGTTGACACAATTCCTATAAATCTTTTGCACTCTCGATCTCACCGCTCAAAGACAAATTCGGCCATGGGAAGAAAATTGAACAAAAATCTTTGGTTCTGTTGGCATCTATTATCTGTAATAATTTGGAGTTGGGGAAATTTTGGGCCAAATTGATCTGAAGTTGATGAACACTATGACAAGGGATGCATTTGGGCTGGATTTAGCATTGTGGTTGATTGATTTTTGCAGTAATAATGCACATTTGCATCAGAGCTTTGGGAGAAAAAGACAAATCAATAGCCCTTTTTCTTTCATTGTTGGACTGTATTTCACCCCAGCGTAACCCTGGGGCATGTATGGATTCTATCCTCCGTCCGCTCCAAGCTGCCAATACCCCTGCTACAGACAATGGCCGCTAATCTGTTATTATTCAGAGTGGATTAGAGCTTTCGTTCCTGTAGGTTTCACCATCGGTGGCAAAGATGCACCTATAATGGCGCAAGAAATCAATGCCCCTCTCTAGCATGTCAAGCGGCAATTCTTGCACATTCTGAAATTTCCATACCCGTCTAATTCCTGCGTCAGATGACAAAAAGCACTTGGTGTTTATGAAGTGCTTCTGTAGGTTTTAATTAACTACTCATCTCCTTTCTGGCTCTCGCAATGCAATAAACCCACAGGGCTTTCACAGACAAATTCTCTGATTCTCCAGCTAAGCATCATCTACTTTATTGTTTCTCGTATATGTAATTTATTAAAATCAACACAAATTACTTCAAGAAGAGCGAATTTTCCATTTGTTCGTGGATCATAACAGCTAAAAATAGACCGAGAATTTTCGTCAACTTTGAGCAAGATCGTGGTCAAATTCGACCTTTTACGCGGCTGGCAAAGCTCTTAAGTGAACAGAGCCAACCATTCTTCCATCCAGTGGCTCTTACTATTGAAGCATTCAATTTTAATTGAACAGGTCACAATCAGAAGGAAACAAAGCCGAAGAGGCCGAGGGTACCAGGCTGTGCAAGCATCTACTCCATGAGAACCTCTGCGGTGAGTTTTCTCTTTTATGATGGGGTTCATTTCCTTTCTATTGGAATCAATTGATGTCAAAACTTCACATGTCTTCACACTTAACAGAGTTTTCTGGTCCTTGTGCTGTTACCATGGAAACCTGTCAAGCCCAGTCACCAGGAATTGCAACAAAATTAAAGAAAAGTTTTGCCATCTTTTTCTCAAATCAAGTTCAAAATCTTTGGTTCTTCTTGCGGAGAAAACAACATTTGTCCAATACAAAAAGAATCTGCTAGCCATTAAAACATTCATGGCTTATTAACTCGATCCTTTTAGCGAAGTTTACCATATTAGGAGGGATTAGGCTAGGGCACAAAGCAATAACCTGTGTATTTTTCAATCCTTAAGGTTGTTATCGAGGGAACCCATTTTGATTAAGCAACTTGACTGGATGTCTTCACAGACATGGTATCCAGACCGTCTTAGCTTATTTTGTTTGAAGCTATTGTCAACGTTCATTTGAGAATGATTTTAGTATTTCTTTGCGAGTGGACCTATGTTTCTCCGACAAATGGCTTTCAATTTAACATTTATCGTTTGCTGATGTTGCATGTGGTCTTACTTGCCGTTGATGAGCTCTATAGAGTTTTTTCGTGAAAACAAAATTTGTTGTTTCACGCTCAGATAAAAACTCAATCTTGTGGTATAATGAGCCTTTGGGCTTTCTGTGATGGCATTTAGATTACTTAACTGACCATGATTTTCTTGGTCTGCCATTAGAGGAGTTTGATTGTCACATGACAAGTTGAAAGAATACATATCCGGTATTCAAATCAATTCAAAATAATAATTGCAACCGAAGAACTTCTATGTTGAAAGACATTTGGTCAAATCAAAGAGTGCGCACATTTAACTTTTATGTCAAGTCTCAAATAGGGAACCTATGTGTCCTTATTTGGACAAGTTAGAGATCTTTATTCATTCTCTTCTTCTTCATCTGGGTCTAGATGTTCGAGAAGGCATCTTTAAATGCGAAAATCAATGGCTGACAAATCATAACTTTACATTACAGACGATTGTACTTGTGTTTCACGATTTTTCTGGCATGAAAACTCCAATTGTTTAGTTCTCAAGAGGAATGAATTTATAGGCTTTGGGGTAAAGATTTATGCAGCATATTGTTATATCATTTAAAAGAGTTTTAACCCTTGTTTTCATGCTTGTTGGAAAAATAGTGAGAATTAGTTTCAGGTGAGTAGTTTTAAAACATTCAAAAGTCAGCCATTTTGGATTTGATTAAGTTTGATTCTCAACTAACATGTTGAAACAATATTCTGATTGAGATATGTTGTTTTTGTGTTTAAAACTGAGATTTACTTTTGTTAAATCAACATTATTGTATGTTTGATATACTTTGATATTCTTTTTTATTAGAATTGATCATATTCTTATTAGGTATGTAATGTGTCTAGGCAGACACTGCTTTCTATTTCGAATTTAAATTATCAGCATATTCTTGCATGGATCATGTTGTTAAGATACATTTTTTTTTAATACAGTATTCTTAAGGTGCCTCAACAAGAATAGCACCATCAATGTCATCAAATTTCAAACAATGTTATACGTATGTGACTCTTTCTTGGCTCATGGATAATAAACTTGGAAATGTTTGAAGTTATTACGGCAGTAAGACAGTGAAATGTTTTTCATTTATTTAATTTTTAAAAAAAATGCTTTTTGTAATGCAATCTATCTCGGTTTTTGTCTCAGAATACCATTATCGTGTTATCTTCACCTGTGAGTTACTACATTGGCATCAAACACAATCATAATCAAGTCTTTGAAATGGGGAAAATATTAGGATGGCTGTCATAAGAAAAAATTACATAATCTTTACTCCTGACAGTGTCTGTTGGGTGTATAAGCTGCTGTGAGCGTTCATCCAGTCACCTGCATTAGCAGCGACAGTCCCGCCTGACCTGTCAACCAGGAAGGTGTTGTATACGGCGTATATATTTCATACAAAATCTCTTTGTTTCAAGGACACATTTAAAATAAGGACCAAAATTTAAGATTGATCTGAAATATATTTTGCAGACACTGTAATTGTTTCAAGAACACATTTAAAATAAGGACCTAAATTCATGTTTTATCTGAAATACATTTTGTAAAAACTCTCATTGTTTCAAGAACATATTTAAAATAAGGACCAACATTTAAGATTTTTTTTAAAAATATATATTGTAGAAATCCTCATAGTTTCTTAAGGAGTAAAATTTAAGAGCTGAAATCTGAAATCTGTCTTTTATGCAGATCGTCTTCCATGGCACCTTAAAAATAAGGTGTAAACTTCAGATAAATCAGATATATACATCTTATACAATCCCTTATCGTTTCAAGGACACCTTTTAAATAAGTAGTACAATTAAAGATAACTCTGAAATGTAATATCATCTTTTCAAGAGCACCTGAATGATAATAAGTAGAATTAAATATAAATAAGAGATCTGACATAAGTCTGAGACTGGCCTTGGATACCTTAGTACCTTGAGAGGGATTTGTTTTAGAAAAAAAATGTCTCTCCTTCCATGAGGTTTTAAAAAAGAAAAATGTATTTGCTCACTGAAAAATTCACTGAATCTGTTGTTGCTGAACCTCAAAATCTGGATTCACTTTTCATGCTGAAGGCCTGTGTTTGAGGGGCGGTGGGGTAGCCTAGTGGTTAAAGCGTTGGCTCGTCACGCCAAAGACCCGGGTTCTAATCCCCACATGGGTACAATGTGTGAAGCCCATTTCTGGTGTTCCCCGCCCTGATGTTGCTGGAATATTGCTAAAAGCAGCGTAAAACCAAAACTCAATCAGTCAGTCAGCCTGTGTTTCAGTCCCACGTGGTCCAATGTGTAGAGACAATTTCTGGTGTCCCCTGCTGTGATATTGCAGGAATATTGCTGACAACATTGTAAAATCATACTCACTCATGAACGAATGAATCTGTCGGAAAAGCAGATGGATCTTGGTGAAGTGACATAAAAATATTTATGCCAATATGTAAGAAGTGAAACCTACTCTAAAGATGAGGAAGTTCACGTTTTTTGCACTGTCGGAATAAAGACGAGTGATCATCGTACCTTCAAGCACAAGGCTGATACTTAGCTGCTTGTTAGGGAAAGGGGAGAAAGAAACATATTAAGTGGTGGAGGTGTTTTTAGTCTGCAGTGAAATCCTCACATTATAGGATATGATGTGTGGAATGTTGGTAATGAGGAACCGTTCCATAAGCAGTGCTGAGCCTTGCTGAGTTTAGGTGCTAAATTGCTGGACTCACTCACTCACTCACTCACTCACTCACTCACTCACTCACTCACTCACTCACTCACTCACTCACTCACTCACTCACTCACTCACTCACTCACTCACTGTACATAACCTGACCAGATAGTCCAGTGATTGACATCATGAGCATTGATCTATACAGTCAGGATTCAGTGAGTGAGTGAGTTGAGTTTTACGCCACTTTTAGCAATATCCAGCAATATCACGGCGGGGCTAACAGAAATGGGCTTCACACATTGTACCCATGTGGGGAATCGAACCCAGGCTTCTGTGTGATGAGCGAACGCTTTAACCACCAGGCTACCCCTAGTTAGGATACAGAGCCTGACCACTTTGCAGTGGTTGATATTAGGAGCAACAGTCCACGCTGTCTGGTCGATGACGCACATTTCAAGAGCCTGATCATGAATTCTATTTGGCCACATGGGATCTACTGTAACCTATAATCTCAATTGGGATTCAGCACACAAAGCCCCTTGAGCCTGTTGGTCACCTCTTTTGACAAGCATTGGTTGTAGGGATCACTTCTTGGATGGAGAGATCACAGCCACGTGATCCTGTTGGTCTCTTACTACCATCATTGGTTGTAGAGATCACTTCTGGAATGGAGAGATCACAGCCACGTGATCCTGTTGGTCTCTTACTACCATCATTGGTTGTAGGGATCACTTCTTGGATGGAGAGATCACAGCCACGTGATCCTGTTGGTCTCTTACTACCATCATTGGTTGTAGAGATCACTTCTGGAATGGAGAGATCACAGCCACGTGATCCTGTTGGTCTCTTACTACCATCATTGGTTGTAGGGATCACTTCTTGGATGGAGAGATCATAGCCACGTGATCCTGTTGGTCTCTTACTACCAGCATTGGTTGTAGGGATCACTTCTTGGATGGAGAGATCACAGCCACGTGATCCTGTTGGTCTCTTACTACCATCATTGGTTGTAGGGATCACTTCTTGTATGGAGAGATCACAGCCACGTGATCCTGTTGGTCTCTTACTACAAGCATTGGTTGTAGGGATCACTTCTTGGATGGAGAGATCACAGCCACGTGATCCTGTTGGTCTCTTACTACAAGCATTGGTTGTAGGGATCACTTCTTGTATGGAGAGATCACAGCCACGTGATCCTGTTGGTCTCTTACTACCATCATTGGTTGTAGAGATCACTTCTGGAATGGAGAGATCACAGCCACGTGATCCTGTTGGTCTCTTACTACCATCATTGGTTGTAGGGATCACTTCTTGGATGGAAAGATCACAGCCACGTGATTCTGTTGGTCTCTTACTACCATCATTGGTTGTAGGGATCACTTCTTGTATGGAGAGATCACAGCCACGTGATCCTGTTAGTCTCTTACAACCATCATTGGTTGTAGGGTAATGTTCCTTCTAACCTGAAATCCATTCTGGAATAATGCTGAGAGAAAGTATTATTTATCAGCTTCCTATAGTCCAGTTAATAACCTGCGAAGGTCCAGGTTAGAATGAGCCTTCAGTAACCCATGCTTGTCGTGAGGTGACTAATGGTATCGGGTGGTCAGGCTCGCTGGCTTGGTTGACACATGTCATCGGTTCCCAATTGCGCAGAACAATGCTCATGCTGTTGATCACTGGTCTGGTCCAGACTCGATTATTTATAGACTGCCGCCATATAGCTGGAATATTGCTGAGTGGGGCGTAAAACTAAACTCACTCACTCACCCAGTTCCTATAGTACAACAGGTAAACCAGGGACTAATATCATGAGCATTGAAGCATTCCCTGGTGGTAGGCTGTGATATATCCGAAGCTGTTCTGTTTTACTGACTTATTCTTTAACTACATAATAGCCCAAGTATGATTTTTTCAGGTTGTTGAATAGGTCACAAATTATAAACTAAAACATGGTGCCTCTTTATAGTTTTTTACCATCTGTTCTAAGAAATTTCTACAATATCATTTTTTGTTTTATATACTAATATAACAAGTATGGAACACCTAATTATTTCATATCACTATAGGGGCGGTGGGGTAGCCTAGTGGATAAAGTGTTTGCTCATCACGCTGTTTACCCGTGTTTTGATTCCCCACATGGGTACAATGTGTGAAACCCATTTCTGGTGTCCCCTGCCGTGATATTGCTGGTATATTGCTAAAAGGTGGTGTAAAAATTACCACACTCACTCAAATCACTATAGTGAATCATCATCATATGACAAATGATTCATGCTAATATGAAGCAATTGGGCCATCGTTAAAATTTTTAGCATTTGTAAAAATTCATGAAAAGAGCATCTCATGATAAAGCAAGTTAATACAGCAGCAGTGCATTGTGGGAATCAGTTTCACTCACTGTCAGCCAGTCGACAAATCACTTGATTTAATCACTGCTTAACGATATTGACATCTCGTCTGGAGTCTCTGCCTCATAGCGGTAATACTGTCCTTAAGACATATTATTAATGACATACTTACTACAAACAACAGCCAGCGAAAAAAAAGCTGGTTTAATTGTGTCTACATGCTATTGTTAACGTGGATAAGTGGGAGAGGAACTCCCATTTTAGTCTTAAGGGGTTCGTGATTAAAATACTCCATGTGGCAGCTCTAAGAGGTTTTAGTTTTTTGCTCAATGTAGGTGAAAGGGTTTTTGTAGTAGTTGTACAATGACAATTTCTCCACGAACTACTTGTACTGGATAATGGGGTAAGCTGTAGATTGTTTAGTATTTCCAAATAATGTTGTTTTACAATATTTATGTATAATATTTAAACGTATTGAAAAGCAATGTGACATTCAGGGACATTTCTGAAACTTAAACAAGTATCCCTGGAAGGCAAATTAGGAAAACTTCATAAATTTTTTTATTGTGATTTTGTTAACATTTTTATTTCTGCAGATTAGAAGGTATATTGAGACTGCATAAAATGTGCTAGTGTCCTTTGCAGGCAAACTAGGAAAAAAATTAATTTTTAGAAAATTGGAATTTTAAAAATATATTTATTTTTGCATATTAGAAGGTAGTTTGACATTAAATAAAATGCAACCGTGAAACCAACAAGGAAGCCTGTTTGAATGTCTGTTCTTGTCCTATTATCAGTGAACAAGTCAGCTGAACAAAGTCAACATCGGATATCATTATAACTATAGCTATGTTGGAGAATTGGAAATTTGTACACCTATTGGTTGCAGATTTAGGGCCTGCTGGCCTTTGAACAGATTCAGAAAAAATCTTCGACATGTATTTAGAACATAACTTTTGAAAGTGACAAATGTTTTCTTAGAATGTCGCATATGTATTGTTCATATATATATGTGTATGTTGTTCTTTGTGCGGAAATGTTCAATTTTTTAAATATATGCACAATGTGCTGAAGTTCTGTTGGAAGCTTGTGAGTTGATGTAATTTTCATACTTTTAGGATAAATGCTCCTTTGACAGTGTGTTACTGTATATAAATCCTTAAAACAATATGGGTTGCACAACCCTTTTGATAGAATCGTTCACTTCCTGTGCTGCATCCTCGAAGGGGGTTAAAGTATCGTAAAATTATTGTCCTCCTGAGAGGGTACGTAAGTCACAAAACTTTCAAAGTTAAATTTTTGCTTATCCGATTTTTAAACGTAGTATATTTGTTCCTTTAAAATTCGGCTCAACTTGTCCTACAATCGCCAGTGGCTGAAGGGATGGTGTAAATCCAATTAGGGTCCATGCACTGGTAGCAAAGGCACTGTAAGTCCCCATGGTCCCTAGTATGGTGATCTACCTTCAGTTGTTGGCAATCTATAGCCCATTTTTACATTGTATTGTCCAAAAATATTTTCTACTTTTAAAAATATATTCTAGCTAGTTTTAACTCAATCTGTGATAATCTAGTGGTTTTACTGTCCTTCGTTGACAGGGTTTTATATATTATATGTATGTATTATGAATTTAGAACTAGTTTTAGTCACGATATGGCTGAAATATTGCCGATGTGACTTTAAATCTTAACTCACTCACTCACTCCTGTGCTGCATGTCAGATTATGATATTTTTGTATAAGTCCATAGACCATATGTTCACCCAGCAGAAAATATAAATATACTTATTATTATTATCATCATCGTTGATTCAGTGAAGCTGTACACGAACAAATCTTAGGGGATATGAATTCTCTTTATTTCTTCTGTAACCAACTTTCTAAAATGCCAATCAAATACTGATTAGTAACTTAATCGGATATTTCTAAAAAAATATGTTATAATAATTTGTGTTTCACATCTCACCGTGAGGATCGCTTGGGGAGTTCAGGGTGTTTATCTCACACAGGAAATCCTTTGAGGGCTCAAGCAAAAAGTTAATATTCATGGTTGAGTGGTGTATCTTGCGCACTGAGAGAATGGACCAAGCCTCTCTCTACCCCGCAGCATGGCTACTGAACTCAGTGACTCTTCACAGAAACTCTATAGTGCGACTTATTGCTAATATTACTCCAACTAGCACTATAACTGTCATAATTTATATTTTAAGTAAACCTGGTTTTGATGGAGCTGGCCTTGGATAAGTTTCTCTGCATGAATGAAATTCTTTCTCAGATCTGTTTCCCTGGCATGGTAATATTAAATTGAAAATCTGATGTAGTGTTTAAATGGAAAATAAAGAAATAATCAGCATTGATGGAAAATCTCTTGTAATGCTTTCTTTGACAGAGAGTATGTTGTTAGAGCATGTATGCATCCTTGCCTATGAGATCGGTCCAACCAGTGAAATGATTGTTGCGAGATATTATGTTTTTGGTTTCCGAATCATCACTTGAAGTTGTTTTAGATAAGAAAGATTTTGTATCCATTGAAGCAGATTTGTAAAATTCCTTTTACTTGTTTTTGAAACATCAATAATAAATCTGTCAAATGTAGGGGAGAAGTTTCATGCTTGACTTGGATGTGTATGAGATTAGCAGGGCAAAAATATACAAAAATAATATGTTTGATTGATCGGAGGAGGGAGTGGCAAATTATTATTAATATTATGAAATCAGGGCCTTTTTGGATAACAGGTTTGACCAGGATTTCTAATGAGGAGTACAATTTGGAATCAAATTAGATCATCAGTTTCCTATAAAGGATTGATAAGCGTGGCTACAAACAGTTTTAGTGAGTGAGTGAGTGGGTGGGTTGGTGATGTGTGAGTGAGTGGGTTGGTGATGTGTGAGTGAGTGAGTTGGTGATGTGTGAGTGAGTGAGTTGGTGATGTGTGAGTGAGTGAGTGGATGTGTTGGATAAGAGTGAATGAGTGGGTGGGTGGATGGGTTTGAGTGAGTGGAATGGTGATGTGTGAGTGAGTGGGTGGGTTGGATAAGAGGAATGAATGAGTGGGTGAGTGGATGGGTTTGAGGAGTGGATTGGTGATGTGTGAGTGGAGTGAGTTGGTGATGTGTGAGTGAGTGAGTGAGTGGTGATGTGTGAGTGAGTGATTGGAGAGTGTTGGATAAGAGTGAAGGAAGTGGGTGGGTGGATGGGTTTGAGTGAGTGAGTGGATTGGTGATGTGTGAGTGAGTGGGTGGGTTGGGTGAGGAAGTGGGTGGGTGGATGGGGTGGAGGGTTGGGTGAGAGTGAGTAGGTGGGTTTGATCATGAGTTAGTGGGTGGATTGATGGTTTATACTTCACATGAGTGAAACTATCAATACTTATGTTGAGTGCATAGAATTAACTGATATCCCTGTAAATTATCAAATTATGAAAAATCTGCAAAAGATTGATTATGTTGCAACAATTTTAGTTATTGTCGAATGAATGAATGAATGAATGAATGGTGTCCCTGTGGCAGCAGTGACTCTGTAGATGAATGATTACAACTGACTCTTTCCCATGTGAATATGAAATGAAAATTACTAAACCATAATCAGTGTTCATTTGGGTTAGATTCTTAAACAGGCTCCTCAAAATAAAGTAAAACAATAATACACACAAAAATCATATTTTAATGAGCAGAATATATTTCTTATTTCATCCTTTATGCATTAAAATTCAAAATAGTCTAGTTAATTAAACACATTCATCATTTATCTTAATTGCCAACCAATTAGCTAATAGGCTTTTCCCTGACAGCCATTCACGACAAGGGCAGACAACTCAATGCAGATTTTGGTGCCTTGCGAAATATATTTCTAGGACAAATGAACATTAATAAGCATTTGCTATTCAGTCCTAAAGAAAAAAATGTTTTGTCACCACATCAGTTTTGCATGGGCAAAAAATGAGAAACAAAAAACAACCATTAGTTATATTTTCATTCACATTAATTTTACTCTCCATTAGACAAGCCTCCATGATCATTTTCTACCCATTCTAATGTGTGCAAGCTACTGCATTTGAACTTCCTGAGATATTTG